TTTCCTTGCTCTGTTCTGATGACTGTCTCCTGGTCCAAGTATAGGTATCACATAAGCACAATCAAGTGTTATGGGATTCCCATTCTTCTCAGAGTTAGTCACAGTTTGTGGTGGTCCACTAAGTCAAATGCCTTTGTACAGTCAATAAGATACAGACATTCCTCTGGTACTCTCTGCTTTCAGCCAAGGTTCATTTAACATTAGCTATAATATCCCGAGGACCATCATCTCTTCTAAATGCACCCTGCACCTCTAGCAGTTCTCTGTTGGTGTGCTTTTCCACTCATTGTTGCTGTTGTTATGTGCCTTCGAGTCATCTGCAACTCATATTGACCCTGTGTAAAACAGCCCTAAATCCTGCTTCATCCTGTGCCAAACTCACTGTCTCCAACACACCTACCCCAATTACTCTAGTCACTAAATCAAACCACCTCATAGAAGGTCTTCCTCTCCTGTGCTGTCCCTCCACTCTCCCAAACATGATGTCCTTCTTCAAGGATTGGTCCCTCCTTGCAACATGTCCAAAGTATGTTCATTAGAGATATCTATTCTTCTAGCAGTCCATGGAATAGCCATGTTATAACCCATTATCTTCACCAACACCAACATTCACAGGCATCAATTCTTTTTTGGTCCTCTTTAGTTGCTGTCCAACTTTCAAATGCAGAGGAAGCAACAGAAAATGTCATGGCTTCCATCAGGCACATCATAAATCCTTAAACTGACATCCTTCCTTTATAGCACTTTAAAGAGGTTCTTTATAGCAGATTCTCCCAGTGTTGCCCAGCACACAGACTCAAAAGGTACGGAGACTGGATACAACCCTGACGCAAATCTTTCTTGACTTTATACCGCACGGTATTCCTTTGTACTGTTCCAACAACTACTTACTGGTCTACGTACAGATTTCATATGAACCAGAAAGGATTCTGTCTCTCATAAGCCTGAGAAGGCAGCAACTGCAGATTATATGTTTAGAGATTTTATAGTACTTGTTAGGTTTCACAGAATACTATTTCTATGACCTTTCTAAAAGATTGTCTATTTGACTATCAAAATTCCAATTTAAATGCATTTTCAGCAATGAATGCATACCACTAGAATATATACATCATTTCTGATTATGTTTTAAAACACAAATAGTACATGATTATATGAATAAATCTCTCTCTCCCTGTCATCAAGTTGGAACTGACTCATACTTAATCTTTTGGCACGCTTTCCGAGGAGATATTATAT